CTATCATCTCGCTACCGTCAAATACTTGCTATGGTACATCTCAGGCACGATCATGCACGAATGCGTGTATCAACGTGGCGATGGCGAGAACCAGGTCGGCTACAGCAACTCCGACCATGTTGGTGACCTGGACTCTAGGAAGAGCACCTCTGGCATACTTTTCTTCCTCGGAAGCAGTCCGGTCAGCTGGCAATCAATGAGGCAGAAGGTTGTCGCAACTTCTTCATGCGAGGCAGAGTAATCGCGACAGCTACAAGGCATGTTAGGGAATCTGGTTGGCTCGCCTTCGCAGCGAGATGCTAAATCCAGACACTGCCCATGCGCTCATCTTCGTCGACAACAAGGAGCGCACTATCAAATCAATCCTTAGGAATTTTTCATAAGGATTCCATTCGTGTGAATCAAATGCCCTATGTAGGAAAAATCCAAATCCTCCAAATATTCTATCAATTCCATTGAATCAAACCACTCGTGAATCTAGAACCCTGACAAGCTGATCTCCAACAATTCCAGTTGTCTTTAACACTACTAGCTAATATGCCAATAGACTCAAGTCCCAGCCGGCATATAACACCACTTGAAACCATAGTGCACAACATTAGTGTTGCCTATTTTCCTGCAAAAAAAAGGTTTAGTGTTGCTATTTGATAGTGAATCTGGATTTTTATTTTTTGATATTGAGGAAAATTAGGTTCGGTCATGTAAGGCATAGAAAATAAATGCAATATTTGATTTTTATTTTTAAATGTTTAATTTAAAAAATATTACTTATTTGATAGGAAAATCTGTATTTTTTTATGTTGGTACTGAATAACTTATGGTAACTACTATTTGCAAAATAGAGATTTTACACTATTTTTAGAAGCTAATGTATTTCTGGATTATAGATCACAAAGGATGGGATAGAATTGACTCCTGACGAGATGGAGCTCTCCAAAGTTACCGTAGGCAGATGTGGTGGGATTCCTAAAGTTATTGCTACTATAGGCCAACTCTTCACCAAAGAGAATGCCGCTAGAAGGCACTGGTCTGTATTGGCCACAGATTTGTTGAAGGAGATAAATGATGACTTTATGCACAAGTTGGAGACCGATCAAGAATTTCACAGTTTAAGGGATCTATTCTCTTGGATGCGGTCCTACTTTGATGGTTGCTCAGATTCCCTCAAGCCATGTATTTTCTATCTGTCAATCTTCCCTCCAGAGCAGAAGCTAAGGCAGAGGCATTTGTTGAGGCGGTGGATTGCTGAGGGTTATTGCAGGGACACGTATAATGCTACTGCAGAGGAGAATGGGAAGAGATTGTTCATGGAACTCGTTAGTTTGAGCATAATCCAACGATGTCAGAAGACGATGAAGTGCCTATACCAAGTCAATGGTTTCTTTCATGAATACACCATTTCACGGCGAATGGAAGACAACCTTGTCTTTGCACTAAAGGGGAATTGCAGCCCGAACTCGCAACATGCAGGTCAACACCTCACCATAAGGGAGGACTGGGACAGGGACATCACAGTGTTTAAGACCATGGATTTCTCACTACGGTCCTTGACTGTGTTTGGGAAGTGGATCTCATTCTTCCTCTCCTCTGACATGAGTCTACTTCGGGTGTTAGATATGGCGGACACATCAGGTATACTAGATGCTGACCTTGAGCAGATCGTGAAGGTGCTACCTCGTCTTAAGTTTCTCTCTCTGCGAGGATGCAAAGAGATAAGCCATCTACCGGAATCATTCGGTGGCCTGAGGCAGCTGCAAACTTTGGATATCAGAGACACCTCAATTTCCATGCTACCATCGTGTGTCATCAAGCTACAGAAGTTGCAATACATTCGTGGTGGCACCATCATATCATCAGATGAAGGTGATGAATCTGTTGCAAGTGTACCAACAACAAACGTAGAACAAACATCATTGCCACCGGAGGGCAGTGATGACATGGTCACAACACTACCGGAAACAACAGAGGAGGTTCAGATATCAGCACCACCTGAAGGTAGTGATGACGTGGTCACAACACTACCGGAAACAACAGATGAGGTTCAGATATCAACACCACCTGAAGGTAGTGATGACGTGGTCACAACTCTGCCGGAAACTACAGAGGAGATTCAGACATCAGCACTACCAGAAACGAGAACAGAGGTTCAGACATCAACATCACCTGAGGGCAATGATGACATGGTCACAGCACTACCGGAAACAACAGATTTTCAGACATCAACACGGTTGTCATGGAGCTACCGGCCATGTAGTTTGGTGTCTAGCTGGTTATCCAAGTTGCGCAGACGCCGACTTGATAATGATGGTGTTGAGGTTCCTGCAGGGATTGGGAGCATGACAGCATTGCATACTATTGGTGTTGTGAATGTCAATATTCCTAATGGAAAGGCAATCCTAAAGGAGCTTCAGAACCTTACACAACTGCGCAAGCTCCGCGTTTCTGGCATAAACAGGCAGAACATACAAGAATTGTGTAATTTCATCTCCGGCCACAAGCATCTGGAGTCCTTGTCAGTGCGACTCGATAAGGATAAGGATAAGGAGGGGTCATTTGCTTGTTTCGGTGACATGATTTCCCAGCCACCCAAGACCCTAAAGAGCGTTAAGCTATACGGACATGTAAACAAACTGCCAATTTGGATCAAACAGCTTCATAATCTCAAGAAGTTTTATCTTGAGTTGACTATACTAGTGCCGGAGGACATGCACTTCTTTGGTGAATTGCCAGATATATATTGCTTACATCGCCTTTGTGTCAAGCCGATTCAAGATGGTGAACTCCATTTTAGCACCCTGGGAGATGTTATCTTTTGGAGATTACGGGTCCTAGAGATCAATTGCACCTCCAAGTTACTGGTAACTTTTGTAGAGCCGGTGATTTGGGAAACTGTGGTGCTGAAGATTCACTGCTCTGGTGGGGCGTCCTTGCAGATTTCTGGAGTAGAGCATCTACTTAGTCTCAAAGAACTGTGGCTGAAGGGTTCCTACAGCGACGAACTGAAACGAGAGTTACAAGAACAAGTTTCCAAGCATGAAAATAAACCTGTCTTGAAGCTAGTGCAGCGACACTCGCCCTAATAGGCTCTCTCTATTCGTGTGTTGTTATTTCTGTACTTGTAAGCTGTAAAAAATCCTGTAGGAAGGAGTATGTTCTGCATTGGTATCGACTTTGCACTCATATATATGAACTTCTGACAAAAAAATGTTCTTATGTTGTCTGTATTTGTTTGTGCTCTGGCACTTATGCCGATTCTAGAATTGGACCCTTACATTTGCTATATGTGATTATTTCATTGTCATTCCGTAACATATGTAGTGGAGTTTTTGAAATCTATATATGGTTTGTGAGCGGAAGACCAGAAAACTCGAAGCGGAGATAGATTTAGTTGGGTATCCATGCATTGTGTGGAGACGATCAGACTTGAAGAAACAAATGTCTGGTCAGATTGCCAGTTTATCTTGTGACTCACTTCTTACTTCGAGTGTTTTGCTCTAGTGAAATTGCTTGCTTGTGTTTATGTGATGGTAGGGGAGATCCTGAAGCGAGATTGACTCGATTTTATCATGGGACCGTGGCCTTCCTAGGTTGCTCATAGATTATCCTGATTGACTTATCATATGTTTTGGCCTTATGATTATTGCTCATGCTAATTCTCGGGCATGATCATCCGATGAACACGTCAAACAAAAGATAGAATTATTATTTGCAGATAGATACCCTGTGCTATTGATTCACAATTGATTCAGTAACCAAGTTCCATCTTCATCATTTACATCAGAATGCAGCAAATACAACTTCAGCACGCCTCCATGAACGCCACACTGATATCATTATCTGATGAAATGACATATTTGAACCTCCAATAACAAAGTAAGCAGATCGGCGGCATGACAGCCAAGACCAGGCTTGATCAAAGCAGTTCAACATCAGGAGCATTGGACCATTTATGCTGCAAACAGAACTTGATCAAAGTAAACAGATTGCCAGTTTATCTGGCTGGTGCTCCACTTCCTGTTTGGAATGTTCTGCTTCAGTGAACTTGCTTGCGTGTGTTTATGTGATGGTAGGGAGATCCTGGAGAGAGATTAGTTAACCTGTTTTTGTTAATGGCACCATTGCATTGGCCTTTCTAGGTTGCTGGTAGATTAACCTGATTGATTTACCACATGTTTGTGGTCTACAGTACTGCTTACGGTAATTCGCGACAGTCGAGCAATGACCACAGCAAACAAAAACTAGAAATATTGCGTGTAGATAGATACTCTGTACTACTGATCCACTGACAAGTGCAATACATATGCACGATTGATGCAATAACAGGTTCCATGTTCAGAAGTCACACCAGAATCCAACAAATTGCCAGACAGATTATGCGGTACACGGAACTCTAGCAATGGATACAAAGGGGGCAAAGAAAACAGCGACTCGACTCGGTCTTCCTGGCAAAGCATCAAGCGAAGAGTCAAAAGCAGTTCAACATCAGAACCATTGGACCATTCATGTTGGAAACAGAAATAGTTCCCTGCCTTCACAGTGAAACCCCATTCTTCTCTTCGTTCTGACTAACAAGCGGTAGATCCGCACACCAAACAGGCAAACAGCTGATGAAAACCGGAGACACCACATGATATTCTGAATGTAAAGCCAACTACAGCCCACACAAATCATGCTATTGTGCAAGGGGAAAAAACAAATTACCGATAGGACTTTTAGCACCACAGTTTTACCTTGATCTAAGGAAGTGCTTGGCACACCAGATGGAGCAATACCGATACTCAGACCCATCAATTCGCGTGGCTTCCTAAAATCGGCTTAACAGGTAACATCACACTTGACGTTCAGAAGCCACACAGGTCTGTATTTTCTCATAAAATAAGTGTACATCGTCACAAGCTGGTTTCAACAGAACTAACAGCTTAAATAGCATATTTAATTGTCACTAGATTCCAGGATAATACAAACTTAAACAAACTACAAACATGAGAAATAAACTTTTTTTAGGAGAAAGCATGAAATTGGTACGGATAATTCCTTTCAAAGGGATCAGCTAGATCCAAATCACGGACACAGAAATCCGTAAAACTGCCATGAAAATGATCCGTTGTAAAATGAAGCCGAGCACCTCCTGAGGCCTTCTTATCCAGTTGAAGCTTCTCACGTTTCCGTGTAAAAAACTCCTCTTTGAAATTACTATGATAAACCTGAAGAGTCATTAACTCTAGCACTCTCGCGTTTAGTAAAAAGAATGTGGCAAAGTCAACATCTGACTTGGTGCCCACATAATATCGCCAGTCAATTGTCTTCAGACGGATGTCAAGAGATCTTATTAGATTCTGGTGTTTACGGCGCCACAAATTCTTTTTCCCTGGCTTAATTGACTAACAAAACATAACCAAATGAAAAACGCCCAGTTCAGAACAATAAGCAGATCACATGAGAAATGAACACTATGAACCATTAAGGAAGAATTGTTACCTCAATGTACAACCTTTCCAAACAAGGAAAGCATCTCATCAAGTCAATAACAACATCCAGACTAAGAGCACCCATACAAACAGATAAAACCTTGACAGTGCACACCGTCTTCGTCAGGCTATCAACACGCAATCCCTTCATGAAGGATGGAAGATGACATTATAGACCATCTATAAGTGCAGAAATTACATAGTGCAGAAAATTGATCGAGAAGGCAAATGGTACCTGAATAACTGTCGAGTAAAGCGTGAATGTGTTACTAGAATAGGAAGATAGGCAGCCTAGGGTCTCCAATTTAGGCGCGGAGATTACCGATATATGCCGGGATTCAGCTGAGCCAAATAGGAGCAACCTTTCAAGACAAGGGGCATTCTCGATGATGACTTCCTCTAATATGATGAGCTCTCCCCAATAAGCTTCCACACCTATGCCTCTAAGGCTGATGGAGTTGATTCGGACACAACGGAAGCCAGAGCAGCGGTAAATCAGCAAGCATTCCAGAGCGGGGCAGCCATCAATCATGGCGTGCAGTGTGGATTCAGATATGGTGATCTTTTCAAGCCCGAGCTTCTTAAGCTTAGGGAAGAAAAGCGCTTGGGCCATGCTGTCAGGGATGTGGCACTCTCCTATGGTGGCGACGCCGAGGGTGTCGGAGAAGCGGAAGGCCGCTGCAGGCGGCGGAGCCGGCTGCGGTATTCCCCGTGGATATGGTAAGATGTACTTGTACTTGAAGCTGCAGAGCTCAAGCTCGTGGAGGTTGTCGAGGGCGGGGGATCTGAGCCAGGCGTCGGCTCGGTCGACGGGGAGGTGGTAGACGGGGCCCCGGTGGGCGGCGAGAAGGCGCGATATGGTGGCATCAAGGCCCTCCTGGCCGAACAGGAAAGGATGATAGTCAAGGTTGAGCGGGGCGGAGCGCCAGAGGTGGCGCCACCGGGAGGCGAGGATCTGCGTCCGCGCGCCTTCCCTGGTGGGGAGGATCCAGACGATGTCCCCGAGGACGCCGTCGGGGAGGCCGCTGATGCGGTCGCCGGCCCCGCCACCTTCCGCTGCGTCCAGCGGCGGACCGCCGTAGCTTCCGGGCCGCCTCCACCTCCATCGCTGGCGTGGTGCGGCCGTTTGGAGAGGGGAAAAAGAAAGGGGAAGCGCCAGGCATCAGACTAGAGATGATCTCTTGGCATCAGACTAGCTAGTCCTAGACCATCCGATCCAACTTATACCCAACGCTCCATCATTTGCTGGATTGAAGCCTCAATTGGCTGGTTCCTCATAACTGCTACGTGCGCATGCATGGCCTGGTGGTCGTTCCTTTTTTTACGGGATGGGCCCGGTGGTACTTCTTTCAAACAAATTGTTTGCTTCCTACTTATAGGCTCCGTACAATTAGTTTGCTTCCAAAATTGATGCATCATTTCATTTCATCTAAAAAAAGGATTGATGCATCATGTTGTCCACCTGATTTATTTCTTTATTTTAGGTATTCTATTTTGAGCCAACCATATTTGCTTCCATCAACTTAATAATATGCGTCATGAGCGTACAACCAAATTTGTTTCGATTTAATGAAAAATGTGTGATTATAAATGTTTATTTTGCTTCCAACCGAGCACCAATTTATTTCTATCGACTCATCGATTTGTTTCCGCTGCAACTCATAATATATTTGCTTCCACTCAAAACTAAATTGGTTTCCACTGTAGCTATACATTGTTTCCACAAAAAACAAAAATTTGCTTCCAAAGAAAAGGGAATCTCTGCTTCCATGAAACCAAAGTATAAATACAATCACAACACATTACAACAAAATATGATACAATATTCAGGCCTAATATATCTGCCGGGAATCCCTGGATATTGTCTTGGGCTGCACCATGAAACTTGCTTCGATCTACATTTTGTGGATGTTAGGGCATGTACAATGGTTGATAAGACAGTCTTATCTTAAATCTTGCATGTAATTTAGAGATGACAAAAAGCAATGTCTACAATGATTCATCTCTTAGCCTTATCTTCAATAACTAGTCATTCCTAAAATATGGTGAGACAAATTATGCTAAGAGATTATCTCTTGTCTTCTCTTAAATAAGAGAAGGCAATCCTTTTCTTATGAGTTATCTCTCCTCCACCTCATCATTCATCCTAGGTGGCACTCCTAAGATAGCACCATTGTACATGCCTTTATAGAAACTTGCTTCCATCTCGGAAGTGTGGATATTATACAAATATTTTGCTTCCACGGTGAAACTTGCTTCCATCTACAGTGAATTCGCCTCCATGGCAAACAAACTTATTGTGATTTTACAGATTTTACTAAAAGAAATTTGTACTTATGTGATGGTATGCTTACTTTAGAAACATCAAACTGTCGCTTCCATCGACTAGATAATTCTCTTTAACTAAATAAGACATTCCTTTAGGAATGAACCATAATCATGAGTATACATGCTTCAAAATACATGAATGTGTTTCCTGTTTGCTTAAAAATGCACAAAATTATTCATCCATAATTCCATGGACGTACTACATGCTCAAACAATCTGGTAACTCCTGCTAGCTTGCTACTTGCTACTTGCTACAGTGAATTCGGCTCCATGGCAAACAAACTTATTGTGATTTTACAGATTTTACTAAAAGAATTTGTACTTATGTGATGGTATGCTTACTTTTACGGAACACTAACGCCCACACGTGTGGGCGTTTGCATCTCACCCACACGCGTGGATCTGGGTCCGTTTGTGGGTGCACGAATCTTGGCGTGTTTGTGGTGCCACGTAGGACTAGGCTGGTGTGTGGGCATTTATCGGGTCGCCCACACGTCCGTTTCACCACACGGAGGGGCCGGTGTGGGCGTTTAGCAGTTAGCCCACACGTCAGTTTTCACTCACGCACAGGGGCTGATGTGTGGGCGTTTATCAGTTCGTCCACACGCCCGTCTCCTATCCTTCACCCAAAGCTGTCACTTGCCATGTGTTTTGCAGGGTACATGACAACTGCCCTAGTATGCTTGTAAGCAGATGACAACTCTCTCTTTTACCCGCCCATGTTAGTTTGCTATGTGTTCTATAGGGTACATGGCAAGTGCCCTAGTGTGGTTGTAAGTAGATGGCAACTCTCTCTTTACCCCGAACATGTTATTTTCCTATGTCTTTTTGTAGCGCTACATGGCAACTGCCTAGTATTAGTAGGTGGCAACTCCTAAAGTTTTCAAATCATGGCAACTATAGTAAATCAGACCATACATGGCAACTGTCTAGTGTTAGTAGGTGGCAACTCCTAAAGTTTTCAAATCATGGCAACAGTAGTAACCAGACCATACATGGCAACAGCTGCATTTGTCCTAAAAATGGCATCTGACACTTGACCTGAGATGGCAATTGCAGTTGAGCAACCATGGCAAATGTAGTTGTCAGACATTGCAATTGTAGTACAACAACATGGCAACTGCAGTACAACAACATGGCAACTACAATTAAACGGACATTAAAGAGGGTCCGGACCATGGCAACTGCGGGGATGCGTGGTGACTGTCACGCGGGGCGTGCGGGGCCGTGAGGTAGGTGGATGAGAGAGGTCGTGTGGGCGTTATCTATTTTACCCACACGTAGGCGTGTGAGAGGGACCACGAGGAAAAAAAGAGACATGTGGGCATTACTTATTTTGCCCACACGTAGGCGTGTGGGCTGATCTTCTTAGACACCACACAAAACGTGTGGGCAGACCCCTTAACGCCCACACGTGTGGCAGTTATCGTCGTCCTACTTTTAAAAACATTAAAATGTCGCTTCCATCGACTAGATAATTCTCTTTAACCAAATAAGACATTCCTTTAGGAATGAACCATAATCATGAGTATACATGCTTCAAAGACATGAATGTGTTTCCTGTTTGCTTAAAAATGCACAAAATTATTCATCCATAATGCTGGTGCCTCTGCCAGCAGCCGGTGTCGACAAACCTCCCCCCAACGTCGTCACCTCGCCGCCACCGCCCATTTGCCGGTGCCTCTGCTAGCAGCCGGTGCCGACAGACCTCCCCCCAACGTCGTCACCTTGCCGTCGGGGCATCAAAACTTCTCACCCCCACCTCCCGATGCCGCCACGAGCAGGAAGCCACCTCGCCGCCCCGGCCAGCTGCTTCGTCCTGACGTCGGCACGCTCGTCGGCCACCGGCACGCCAGCCACCTGGTCCAAGGGAGGCACACGTCTCTTCGCCGGCCAACTCCTTCGTCGACGCCCGCAAGCTGTTTGACAGTTTGCCAAGGTACAAACTAGACTCCGCTGATGAGATCTTTTTCCACAGTTTCCTTTGCGACTCCGACGATTCCTCGTCCAATGATGAGGAGGAGATCTTGGCTGCTGTGTTGGTCCATCACCACCTTAGTAGCCAGCTGCCGTTGTTCCGTGGCTCGATCCCGGGGCACCTTCCGGCCGTTGGTTACCAATTTGTCCAGTGATCTTCCGATATTTCATTGCTGAGTAGAGTTACCCTGGATAGTGAGTGTTAGGTTCACCTGATTGATCTTTGGTCACAGAGGAGGGCACCAGGGCAATAGGCTGTCTCTCGTCGTCTGCTGCTCTGGTTGCCGATACTTTCACGGTTTCACCTGATTAGCCTAATTTTTTTGAACTATGAGTATTGCTTGGAGTATCTAAGACATCCTGTTAGAACCATTTGTTTCAACTGTCGCGCAGTGGACTGCATGATAATAGACTAATTTAAGTTAACACTCCTGTGCATTAATAATATCCTCATAATATACTGAATGAGTGTCGCACGCTGGGCTGCCCCATTATCCGATATAATTTTGCCTCTGACGGTGTTTCTTGATGCTCGGCGAAAAAATCAGACTGAGCATTGAACTTAATTTCACCTTCACTTTAGGTTGCTCAGAAGCTACTAATGGTGCTCCGCAAGGTGCAAAGGAGCAGGAAGGCATAAGAGGGGAAGCGACTGTCCCGACCTCTGAACCTGCAAGGGAGGAGCTGGTTCAGAGCGCCGTTACTTTTCTGAGACACCCGAAAGTTGTGGCCTCTTCTGATGTCCAGAGGCGTTCCTTCCTGGAAAATAAAGGGCTCACCATGGACGAAATCAAACAAATTCGACGTTTACTCGTTGAGTTCCGCTTCGGTACAACCCCGCTACACAAGACGTATAAGGGTAGTATCGTCTTCCGAGAGGAACGTATACCCACCTGACCACCTCCGTATGGTCTCCTACCGGACATACACATACTTTATTTTGAGAATTGTACACATACTCGTTTACAACAGCTGATCGCCTTCCCCTCTGGTGTGGGCCGGCCCATTTTACACTTTTTTGTGCATACTTTTTTTTTTGCTAGGCCCAACATGTTGCATGGACGCGAAAGTCTTCTACCCTCTAGGTTAGGGTTTATCGCCTCTGGCGGCGTTACCGCCGCCTAGAGCTTTTTCTCCGGCGGATCGCCATGCGCCTCTCTTCGCATCTTGGATCGCGAGTGGGAAGCATGGCGACAGGAGCAGGATCGTCCTCGAAGGGTTGGTCAGGGAAGAACTTGGAGGAGATGCTGCAACACTTGGACATCAAAGACGGCGAACTAGACGACGTGATCGTGGGGGTGGAGGAAT